ATAGAATAGAATAGAATAGAATAGAATAGAATAGAATAGAATAGAATTTTTGATTGGCAAAGTGTGATTGGACACACAACGAATTTGTTTTCAGTACATAAGCTCTCATTGCACATAAAAGCTATAAGTGATAAATCTTCATCAGTCATCATAAAAATATATAATAAATCATAAGGTACAACAGTCATAGTCATAGGATACTAAAATAAAATATGCTTTATTTTATTGGTATTGATTTAATTAACTATTTATAGAGTGACCTCTTTTATCTAAATGGTTCCTATTTTCCAAGACATTTGGTAATTTCAGAGGAGATCAAAAAGGCCATCATTCAAGGTGTTACATGCACAATCAAAACAGCAAGAAAAATCTTCCCTTTCTTCTGAAAAGTTGGTTGATTTAGGCTTATCAGCTGTATCAGCCCAACCACTGCTGTTTGCAAATCTAAGTTTATATTTGTATGAACTTGATCAACAGTGATTTATTTAACAGTCCGTGTTAAGCAAGCCAAGGCTCAGCATAATGTCCAACACCTGAAAAAGGAGTGTCTATAAGAAAAAACACAATTTTCTCCTCCTTTGTTTCAAATCATTAGAATGAATCATCTGAAGAAGACAATGGCTTCATTCCTCCTTCTCTCGTCTTTCCCCCCTGAAATTCCCACTTCTCTTTTTTCTCCACAACTGACTTCCACATGCATTCACTTTTGTGTATTGAAAATGAGAACCTGGAAATTTGGGAGAGGAAACAGCTAACACCAGCTAACAGCTAACACAGCTAACACCAAAGGCCCAAGAAGGAAATGTAGGGATACAAAATTCATTACAGTCCATCATTTCTGTGTTCTAGATAATTTCCATCCAATGTGCCTCAAAAACAAACAAGAGTCCTTGTTGTATTCTGTTACTCAGTTTCACATGCTTAGAGTCTGAAGTGAATTTGGCATCAATCCTTGATTTGGGAGAAATTGTATTAGTATCAAGTGTGCTGTCCTGATTACCAGTCCCTATCCTTCCTCTATGACAGTGGTGTCAAACTCAAGGCCCGGAGGTCAGATCTGGGCTGTAGGATGCCTAGATTAGGCCCACAGGGTCACCCTGGAAACAGCAAAGGATCGGCCCACAGTACTCTTCCAACAAAAATGGGCTTCTGAGCTCCATTTTTTAGCTATGATGGCCTCCTACAACCCTCTTTCAGTAAATACAGAGCTCAGGAGGGTCACACATGGCTTTCCCCAGCTCCTTTTTTTGCTGGCAGAGGGTTGCAGGAGCTTGGGAGCCCGTTTTCACTGGCAGAGCGCTTGGGCCACCACAGGTGCCCCAACACAAGTGACATCAAGCTGGCCATGCCCACCCCAGCCATGCCCACCCCGGCCCCCAGAGGTTAAACCCAATCCTGATGCGGCCCTCAATGAAATTGAGTTTGACACCCTTGCTCTATGACTTTTGGGTCCTAATCAGTGTCTGTCACAAGCCATAATAATATCACTGTGACATGTGTCATGGTATCATGATATATATAAATGTAAACATTAGAAATTAGCCAGCTACCAACCTTGAAAATGTAAAAATTCCCCCATTCATGGTTCCAAAACAAGACAGGGAAACCAAGACTGGAATCACAGAGATAAGGCTCTGGAAAGCTTTCCGTGCAAAACTCTGATGGGGGAAGAAAGGCATGGTTGTAATTCACATATGTGAAACACTGCATGAATCAACTCAGCTGCGAACAAAAACCACCAGGAGGCCTTTAGAGAGCTGTTAGGGCTCAACAGTATTTCATTTCTAGTTTTACACCTGCTTGTTCCTTATGTCTCTAATATTATTACTGCTTGCTTCATCAGTCTAAGAAAGCTTTGGAAATACTCTAATTACCAATCTTGAAATATTATGTGTTTGTACGTATGTGTGCATGCATTGATCTCTCTCTCTCTCTCTCTCTCTCTCCCTCCCTCCCTCTCTTTTATCTATCTCTCAGTAGTTGTTCAAATCTGGCAACATTAAGATTGTGGACTTCCGCTTACAGAATTCCTTAGCCTGCATGCCAAATCCCATTTCAGAACTTTCAGTTCTTCAAAAATAATAATATATAACAGAAAATTAAAAACAGAACTTGAGATATATATATATTTTTAGAAGAGATAACAGTGCTGTCTCTACCTGAGCCCCTACCCCTGTGTGAATATTCATACTATTTGCTGTTCCAAGGCTTTACAAAGACAAAACAAACTCTTGGGAAGCTTATTCAGTGAAACTGTGCTTAATTGCCACTTAATTGCCAAACCTCTCTTCCATCAATTGCAAATTGAACCCTCTGGAATGTCTGTTTTGAAAGGGGTGCAGTGAGCGGTGCGTGTGTGTTTGCATGTGTTAGTTTAATCCGATTGTAAAAACAGCCTTGACTTTCAACTTACCACAGCCACTGCCTGGGAGACAAGGACATCTGCTGCTGTCAGTACTGTGTAATAGGAAACGTTGGTGAGCATATACCCCACAATCACTGTGATCACCGACACAATCACAGCCAATGGGATATTTCTACAAAAAAGGAAAAGGAAATAGAAACATCTATGAGTACCTCTGTAGCCACCATCCCAATTAAGATTTAATTCAGCTGTCCTGGACCTTATACCCTCCAGAGAGGTTGGAAGTGCAGTTTTTGAACAGTGAGAAAGCATGACCAAAGTTGTTCAGCCCTCTTATGCCAGCCATTGGTCCCTTAGCTTCCATGAGAGGGCAGTTAGCAGATGGAAACCATAGAGTGGGAATCCCAAAGGTGCTTTTTCAAGAGGCAACTGGACTTTCTGGTTTTTCTTTGAAGATGTTTCTTCAGCTCTGAGTGGAAATTAAAGCCAAGTAAACTATCTTCTCCTCCTGGGAGCAAAGAATGAAGTATAACAGAACTTCACAAGTTAACTTAGCTCAAGAGGCATTTAAACAATGAAAGCTCCAGGCAACAGTCCCAAAGGGAGGTAGAGTCAGGATAGCAAGTAGAAGATCAATTGATTGGAATGAAGAAGTAGGTAACATTTATATCCAATACAGGCCAGGATGATTTTTTTCTTGTCACTGTTATTTTTTAAATGTATCGCCTATATATATTCTGGGCTTCTTGGCCATATGACTGATAAAAGAGGCCAAATTGTCCTCCATTTGGCATCCTAAGATAATTTTCAATAATCTTGCTATGCAAAATAATTTTAGCTAAGTTTAAATAGCAGGTGAACACGAATAGGATAGCTTTTAAAATAATCAGTCAATCATAATAGAGCCGGAAGGGATATTGGAGGACTTCTAGTCCAATCCCATACTCAAGGATGAGACCCTATACCAGGGTGTCAAACTTCTGGCTCGCGGCCATGTCCATCATGCACAGGCCACGCCCATCCCAGCTCCATGAAGGGCGGAAACATCACATGACAGCAATGTGATGCCATGAGTTTGACACATGTGCCCTATACCATGGGTCTCCAACCTTGGCAACTTTAAGACCTGTGGACCACAATTCTCAGAATTCCTCAGCCAGCTTTGCTGGCTGAAGAATTCTGGGAGTTGAAGTCCACAAGTCTTAAAGTTGCCAAGGTTGGAGACCCCTGCCCTATACCATTTCAGAAATGAAATGAAACTATTATTATTATTATTTATTGTTGTTGTTATTATTGTCTCTTTTATTCATTAAACATGAAACTCAGTCAACTGAACATTTAAAAATGTATTACAAATATCAGTGACTGGCCCTGATGATTGATACAGGTTGCTGTCAGCATCCTAGGCATCAAGAAAGTATCTTCTTAAAATGTATGATGTTCCAAATAGCGCAGTCTTTTGCAGCTCCGCTGATGTTATTGTAGGAAGCTACAACTTCTTGATGTATTTTATAAAATTCTTGGACATGCTACCAAGTACCCCTATGACAATGGGTATCATTGTTACATGTTTCATCCATAATGTAGTTTTGATGGCCTGGTCACAATATTTTGTGATTTTTTTTTTCAGTTCTTTTTCTTTGATTCTGGCAATTATTGTTAGTTGTTGTTGTTGCTGCTGCTGCTGTTGTTAATCTTTGGTGAGATTCACAGCCTTTTGGGGCTGGTTGGTAGAGTCTTAACCAAGGACCTAGGAACTGTTAAGTTAGCCTCAGAGGATAAGGTGTTCCAAATAGGGTGGGTTTTTTTTTTGTAGAATCAGGGTATTCAAGTCTGATAAATTCAGAATTTCCAAATAGCGAGGCAGCCCTTTAGGTATTGCTCCAAGGGCTCCAATTACAATTGGGATAACACATGATTTTTTTTTCCAAAGTCACTCAACTTCGAATTGTAAGTCCCGGTACTTTGTGGTTTTTTTCTTGCTGCTTGTCTTCAGTTCGTACATCACCAGGTATTGCAATTATTATTATTATTATTGTTATTATTATTGTTGTTGTTGTTGTTGTTGCTATTACATCAATAGTTATTAATGAAAATTCATTAAATGTTCCTTTTTTGAGAGTAAATCACTGCTGTCATTCACTGCTATTAACTGCCTTTCAAGAATACACAATTTTATAATTCAGAAACATTTTTTGGAACAATTTCTCATCTCCCTTCATGTCCATGCATGGCTGAAGAGGCTGCGGAAATCAAAGTGTTTTAAATATAACATAAAGCCTCTAGAGGGAGCCAAAGTTAATACCTGGATGAGATTTAAATTACAGAGTTCAGGTATATGAACTTGTCCAGAAAACAAGCGTGATTCGAAGGAGGCTGAAACTTTTTACCAGTTTTGAGAGTGAAGATCTATATTTCACATTGTTCTCTCACTGGTTTGTCTATTCTCCTCTTCACAGAAATACTACAGTTGTAGTACAGCAAAGTTTTATAGAGCTTTGCTTGAGGAAAAGTTGGCAAAGCTGCTTCATTCAGTTCCACCCCAGCACTTCCAATAGCCAGAAGAAGTGCTCTAACATTTTGCACATCAATTAGAACAGAGCTGGAAGGAACCTTGGAGGTCTTCTAGTCCAACCCCTGCTCAAGCAGGAGACCCTATACCATTTCAGACAGGTGGCTATCCATAAATACTCTAGAATCTTATAGTGGACTCAGAAGGACACATGAAGAACTTCTTCATCCCACTGAGATATCCTTAAAGCCACTTTCTTAAAGTCTTAGCATTCATCTTCTTAATAAAAATATGCCGGTGGTCCTTGTCTTTATAAAGCTAAAGGAAAAATGGGCATTTTGTTCTTTATCTACATAATAGGGAACTAATCTGGCTTGTCAGTTTTCTAGACAGTAAAGGCAAAAGCCTTAGCTATGATATTTGACTGCAAAATTAAAATATTATGTTTTAGTTTAGGCAGTGTTCCATCATTTCTGTCTTCCCATCATTTTCTTCTGAAAATACTATACCACAAAAATGTATCTTGTTAGGCCTGTTACTCTAGCCCAGTCTTCTCCACCAACCTGGTCACTTCCAGATGCAACTCCAGCATTTTCTACAAACGGAGGAGTTCAGTCATCTGGAGAGGGCCAGGTTGGGAAAGACTAGTCTAAGTCAGAATGAAGTTTCATCTTTCCAACTCACCGTTCTGGCTTCACCAGTTCTTCTCGTACAAAACTAGTTTGAAACCTGCATGAAGGGCGGAGCAAGAGACAGAAAGGACTGTTTCAGTAATGGTGAGAAATCACAAGAGGATTTCAGAAATATACACTAGGAATGCATACCATCCAGAGTAGGCAAACATCCCTGCATAAAAGGCTAACGGTAGTTTGTCCAAAACGAGTGTTTGGGTATTGAAGGCATCCTGGAAATTTCCTGTACAGCCTAAAGAAAAGAATAAAATTATAAAGAAGGGCATAGCAGAAATAGACATTCTGATGATGGATAGATTAGTACCAAAGTCAAGTTTTATTTTATATGTATTCAAGTAACTTGGTGGTATAAGATATGATTTGCATAAGAGAAGTGAGCCCAGATTCAAAACAGCTATCTTGTCTAAAAAGGATTGTGTTGCAGGAGATAAGAAGACGCTCTCTCTGCTTGAGATCTCACAAGCCATTGCCAAACATAGACAATGAATGAATAATAACTCGATCGGATTACCATATTACAATAAGCCATGTTTTAACCATCATTTGTTGAGTAATTCATAAACTATAATGATTGGCTTTCTTATGGAGAACTTTCTCATCCTTTCCTTAATTTCTGTCTAATTTTATAGGTTGCGTTCAAAGCATTCAATCCTCTGAAGTATTCCTTGTGTTTTTATCATTGTGTTGATTAATAGACAACAAGAACAACAATGTGGAATACCTTGAGTTAAAAGCATCATGCCTGGGACGATAATGAGAGAGAGTGCTACCAACTTGATGATAGATAAGATGGTCTGGAGCCGGGCACTCCAGCTGACACTCCAAGAATTTAAGATGAGGACAATGTCTAGAGTGGCAAGAAAGGGAAAGTATTTGATCTGCATGAGTTAAATACACAAAATCAACATGACTCACCCCTGCTAGGGAAATAAAATGGCTAAGATTTCCATTGGGACTTACAGTAACCCAGGAGAGCAACAAGCTTCACAGCCAGGAGTGGAGCCGAACAAGGTGCAAAAAATGGTTCCAATATGTAGCGTCCAAATGCTAAGGCGACAACAGCACTGTTGGCTGGTCTAGAGAAAAATTATAGTCTTTGAGGAGACTTGAAGATGTTACAATGCACAATGCAACATCCTAGTGCAACATGCAACTGATGGCGATGATAATAAAGAGGAGAAGGTGGAAGAAACAGCAGCAGCAACTGGGAATGAATCTGCAAAATTCAGCTTCTCTCAATTATTTACTCTCAATCATTTTTTTGAAGCAATCAGATATAATTGTATACCATCTATCAAGTAATTTCAAAACCAAACTTCCTCTCATAAATAGCCATCAAACATTTATTTTTGTATTGATTGGCTGTCCAGAAATCATATCTGAGTTAATCATTTTTAATATTAACAATTGTTAGGGCATAGTACAAATTTTATTCACCTAGTATTAGGGATGTTGATGGAGGGAGAGGGTAGGTAAAAAAAAAAAGACAAGATGGTGCAAGGAACTGCACATTTGAAGCCCCAAGTTTTTCTTCACATGGTCATGCCTACTGCTTCACTTTTGTGGCTATCCTGCCCAGTATTTTCCCAATTGGGTCAGCTGATTATTTGCTTTTGTATTTTCTTTGTATGTTATAACATAAACTGATTTAAAAACTGTTTTTTAAAAAAGGACAGCTGATTCAGGATAAAATAAAGGCAAGACATTCTATCCTTTTGCTAATTATGAAAGGTTGTTCTTGCCTCATAAATAGAACAAGTATGACAATTTGCCTAGGTCTTCTTTTATTTCCGTATCCAAGGCTGCAGATTATTCCATTCATGTTTGTGTATTAATTATACTCAATAATCAACAGTTCAGAACATTTCTTGCTCACTATCATGTTTATTGAATATTGTAATGCAGGGGGTCCTCACCCCCAGTCCATGGCCCAGTACCAGGCTGCAGCCTGTTGGGAACCAAGCCATGCAAGCAGTGGCCAAGCACATGAATGTGCAAAGCTACATTTATGCAAGCAGTGCATGCGCATGCAAAACCATCCCCTCTGCCCTCCTCCCACCACCACTGCTGGTCCACTGCAGAGCCAGAAAGGTTGGGGACTGTTGTTATGATGGAAAAGTTTACCTTATAGCAAAGTATTCAGCCCACAGAAACAGGAATCCAGGCAGAGGACCTAGAGTTTCCAAGATATAAATGTAATGGCCTCCGGACTTGGTAATTCGCGTGCCCAGTTCTGCGTAACTCAAAGCACCTGGAATGATTTAATTACAGTTTTAACAAATCCCGATGAAGACTTTATATTGGAAAGGTTTGGACATTCTAAAGTGCTGTCCCAGGAAAAGAGAAAGGGCTTTTAGGGCTTTTCTAGCCTAAATTATAGGCTAGTATTGTATATTATGTCCTCTGGCCTAAACACCTATGAAGGGGTAGACACTGTGTTGAGATTCAAATAATTTAACAAATAGTTCTCTGCCCTAATGATTTCTTCCAACAACCAGTACACCAAACTGCTCAGAAAGTTAACAACCAGTTCTCCCAAAGTGGTGCAAACTGGCTGAATCCCACCACTGGACAGACAGAATACATTCAAAACAAACATTTCATGGTTAAATACATTCTGTGATCCTATCAGGTATAGTCTATCGCAGCTCTGGGGAAATTACTGAAGAAGGATCACCATTCCCAGTTTGTAGTAGCTATGCTTTCCTTCCCCTGCAGGGATGGGTACATCCCATAGTGAATTAGGTGGGAATGGGAGCTAAAATGAATGAAGTGATGGTACCCATTCCATAGAACCATGTCACATGCAGGGTGGGGCCAAAATTTTCTATTTGCAGTGGGAAGGAAGAGCTATCTGGAATCCTTGTTGCTCTCTGAGCTTGCTTGCTTGCTTGCAGACATTACATTGTCATGAAATTTATCACAATTGAATGATTATGTGCCATCAAGTCACTTTCAATTCCCAGTGACCTCATGGCTTTTCTCCATGAAGCTTTGGAAGAGCCACATATATAAGTTCCCAGTAGCTTCAAATTTTAGAGTATCAAGGGATGAAAAAATTCTCCCACAAATGAAGGCAAATATACATGTCCCAGAATAATGTTGCAGGATCCAATCTGGGTTTGTCATCGGGACGAAAGGTTTAGGCTTCCAAGCTTTCAGATTTGTGGGATCCTCAGGGGACTTCTCTCTACCGGAACGTGTCATGTGTGCATTCTGGTAGAGAGACATTCCCTGAGGATGGGCTCCAGCACGAGTCTGAAAGCTTGGAAGACTAAACCTCTGGTCCCAGCGACTGACCTAGATTGGATCCTGCAAAAAGTTCTCTGTTTGATAATGTCAATCAAGACCAAACAGCATTGGGCAAAACAATGAGCTGGAGGTTTTAGAAATCAACTTAGTTTTGTGTGAGTAAAATTGATTCTTATACTGGAGCCTACTCATTCCCAGCTTAGCTTCTAGCTCTGTGTTCATGCCATGGAAACTCATCAGCAATAAAACACAGATATGACATTTAGAGAAGCTGCCTAAATGCTAGAACCCCACTGAATTGGAGTACATCATGTTTGTTTTCAAAATGGTGCCAGGCTTTCTGTAGGAAGAATCCTCCTCTCTCACCACCCCACATACACATTTTTCATCAAAATAATGTTGGATATATTAGAGCCTGGGGGGGAAAGAGATGTGACTTGTTCTTTTCCCCTACTTCTGTTTTTTAAAAAAAAAAATTCTGCAAATCTTGGGATTTCCTTGAACGTACTGATTTCTCCTGCTTGTTTTCAATAGTAAAACTTTGGCATCTAGCCATCTTCATTCAATACTCGATGGAGTGCTAAGAGAAAATCTTGCTTTTGATATTCGAGACCAGTTACGTTACAACTACATTACAGACCAGTGGGATGAATCTCATGATTGGAATATAGCAATTATGCAGCTTGATCAAAAGGGAGAGAAACAATTGAAAGGGAGATTATTTCCTGCTCAGAAATCCAGGGGAGCCAGGAATGCAACAAAGAGCATTAGTTAAAATAATAAGTAAAGTTAATACAATACAAAAAATACATTGTAAGTAAAATTTTAAAAACGGAAATAAAATAGTAAGTAAAAAAGTAATACAAATATTTTTATTTGTGAGTATCTCTATTGTCCAACCAACCAAGGAGAAGATGCAGTTATGCTTTGTGGGAGTATACTGTAGATCTTTCTGAGAGGCATGAATGAGAGTCATTGGTTGCAGAGGTGGTATTCAACAGGTTCTGACCAGTTCTGGAGAACCGGTAGCAGAAATTTTGTGTAGTTCAGAGAACCGGCAAATTACCACCTCTGACTGGCCTATTCTCTGCCTCCCGAGTCCCAGATGATCAGGTGAGTCTTTTTTTGTTGCCCTGCACAGGAGAATGGAGCTGGAAAGCAGGTTAGTGGGGTGGGGAGGGAATGGGATTTTGCAGTAACCTTCCCCCAGGAGTGTGGAGGGAATGGGGATTTTGCAGTATCTTTCCCCTGCCACACCCACCAAGCCACGCCCACCAAGCCACATTATGCCCACCAAACCATGCCCACAGAGCAGGTAGTAAAAATTTTAGAATCCCACCACTGATTGGTTGGGAAACAAATGCTGCAAAGCATAGTTATTTCAGGAAAATCCTGATTTGTCTTCCTGACAACTTTCACCTTCAGAGTACAGAAAAGCACAAGAGAATTAGCTATGCTTGAACGTAACTAACCAGTAGGAAGGTTTAATTAAGGAAGTGAGAAGAGGAGGAGCAAAATGCTACGATTCTTGACCATGTAAAAGCAATAGCACTCAGACTTATATACCACTTTATAGTGCTTTACTGCCCTCTCAAAGTGGTTTACAGAGTCAGCATATTGCCCCCAACAATCTGGCTCCTCATTTTATCCACCTCAAAAGAATGGAAGGCTGAGTCAACCTTGAGCCCGGTGGGATTTGAACTGCCAAATTGTAGGCAGATGGCTGCAGAAGTAGCTTGCAATACTGCACTCTAACCACTGCACCACAGAGGCTCCTGGGATTGATTGGTAATGTTAACACTAATGTTTTAGATTCCTAATGTTAAGGGAAAATAAAACTGAATATACTTGAATGCATACCTGGGACTTTAAAAAAAAAAGTCAGCTCAAGAGAATTGAAGATAAAAAAAAAAAGCACAAATGCAAACAATTTCAATGACAGACACATTTGAAAGACAGCAAGAGAAGCCCATGTAGGTATATGAAATGCCTATCAAAAATTTGAAAATGGAAAATGGCATTTACAGAAGATGGAAAGAGGAATGTGGATAAGAGCACCAGGAAAAATACACAGAGATGAACTAGAATTGGAGGAAAGGTGTCAGAAAGGCTCAACATTAGATTGGTGAAGGGAAAATAGCCATCCATATTCAAAATGGAAACAATGGAATCAGTACTGCATTAATCAGCTCAGTGAAAATGGCAAAATGTCAGCAGATAACAAAAGAGAGGCATTACTTAACTCTTATTCTGGCTCATCCCTCTTTAAACAGAGGGTATTTTACAAGGGAATTGGAAAGGTAAGGATGTAGAGATAGAAGTGAAGCACGAGATTGATAAAAATCAGGGAATATTTATTTTGAAGAAATAAAACTTCAGAGCCAGGTAATTTCCCTTACTAACCTAGGGTACTGTCAATGGTCTTGAGAAAACCAGGAGAACATGTAAAATACTAGATGACCTGAGAGGAGGTTGTTCCTATCCTCATAAAGAGGAGAAAAGTGGATTGCGGGGCCTGGGAATTGAATAGTCGGATACTAATACCTGGAAAAAATTCTACAGTAGATCATGAGGTGATTGATATGAAAGTGCTTTGAAACGGATGTAGTGATTATTAAAAGTCAGAATGCATTTGCAGATAACACATCTTGCCAGATTCATCTTAATGGTATTTTTATTAAGTTGAGACTTTGTTGGAATGCTCTAATATACTAGATCCACTAGATTCAGTAAAACATTTGTATTCTGACCTTCTGAGAATATAAATCTGGAATCTCAGGAGTCAGAGAGCATTAATTTAGTAAATTAATTTATTAATTAGTAAAGTCATAGAATCAATTATTAACCAATCCATTATCCTCCACTTAAAGACAAAGAACCTACTCTCTAATTAAAAATTTGGTTTCAGAAAAAAGCTATCCTGCAATCTGCAACTCTTACACTGCAAAAACATATGAACTACACAACCCGATCAGGGCAAAGCAATAGACACAATCTACATAGACTTCTGTAAAGCCTTTGATTCAGTGGTACACGACAAACTACTCCTAAAGCCTTACAGTATCTCTGGACACCTGCATAACTGGATAGAAGCATTCCTGTCAAATAGACAACAAATGGTCAAAATTGGGAGTGTCCTATCAAATTTTGTACCTGTCAACAGTGGTGTCCCCCAAGGCAGTGTTCTAGGACCAACTCTCTTCATACTCTACATAAATGATCTCTGTGATCATATCAAGAACAACCGTGTTCTCTTCGCTAATGATGTAAAGCTGTTCCACACCACAGACAATACTGCTATCCTTCAAAAAGACCTCGACTATGTATCAGAATGGTCAAACAAATGGCAACTTCAAATCTCAACAAATAAATGCTGTCTTACCTATTGGCAAAAAAAAACAACCAGAAAATGAAATACAGGCTGAATAGTTAAGACCTTGTTGATGATCCAAACTCTGTCAAAGATCTTGGAGTACTTATCTCTAATGATCTAAGTGCTAGAGCCCACTGTAACTACATAGCCAAAAAGGCGTTAACCTAATCTTATGTAGCTTTTTCTCTGGTAATATTATACTACTAACTAGAGCATACAAAACATTTGCTAGACCAATACTCGAATACAGCTCATCAGTCTGGAACCCACATTAAATCTGATATTAACACAGTTGAGAAAGTCCAGAAATATTTCACAAGAAGAGTTCTCCACTCCTCTACTCATTGCAGAATACCTTATGCCACCAGACTTGAAATTCTAGACCTAGAAAACCTAGAACTACGCCGCCTTCGGTCCAATCTAAGTATAGTATAGAAAATTATACATTGGAGTGTCCTACCTGTCAATGAATACTTCAACTTCAATCATAACAATACAAGAGCACACAATAGATACAAACTCAAGGTTAATTGCACCAAACTTGATTGTAGGAAGTACGACTTCAGCAACAGAGTGGTCAATGTCTGGAATTTTTCACTTTAGGAAATAAAATGGGAAGATATAGAATGAAAAATATTTGTCTTTGCAATAATACTTGTGAGAAATGGATTTACAGAATGAGTATGAATCAGCACTTCAAAACAGGCAAAAACAATTTTAGGTTGTATTGGAAATTAAAACCCACCCCCCTCCTAGAGAAATGAAATATTTTAGGATATATTAAAAAGGCAGAATATTCCCCCTAAAAGAGAAGTAGAAACTCAGAAAGGCAGAAACTCAGTCCCCTCCCCACCTTTGTCAATGGGCCATTAAGGCCTGGGCAGTCTATTCTACATAACAAAGATCTACCTCCTTCAAGTAGACCCATAATAGAAATCCCAAAGCCCTTTCATTACATCATCATCCACCAAGGCTCAACCAAGCCTGGGACTCAGGACAGTCTATAGAGTTGCCCCTGCATGGCCCCATGGGAGTCTGACAACCAATCAGAATACAAGCTCAAATTCAAATCCCAACAGAGGGTATAAAACCCAGGGACTTCTCTTCCCTTTTCACCCATGATTTCCAAGGCATTTGATCCTGTTCATCAATAAACCTTCTTTCCAAGCAACTTCCATGAATCCAGTGTCTTTTTTCCCACTTGGAACTGAACCCAGAAGATATTTCTTCCAACGATTGCATCTGTTCACCCAACAGGAACTAGTGGTGGGATTTTGAAAATGCAAAGTGCCCAGTCAAACCCCATGTCTTGTCTACTTAGAGCACAAAAAATGGAGACTTTTATAGCCTCCTGGGATAAGAAAAGAAAAATCAGGTTGGATTGGCCAAAGGGTAGCACTGGAATAGGGTAAGGTAGTTTGGAGTTACAACAAGTGCTTCTGTAATCATGTTCTTCAGTCAATTCTAATAAGGCTTAGTTGCAGCTTGAGTTCTTGAGAAGGCAGTTCTGGCTGAATTTGTAAAACCAGGCAACTAGATAACAAGTATTTTCTGATTCTGCAATTGTTAGATTAATCAAATTACTGTGCCCAGTTCTGAGCACCATAGTTAAAAAGCAACAAGATTCCAAATGAAATAATATAGTCAGGCCTACATTTTTGGGAGGTGGTTGTTGTCTTGGTTTTAATGGTTGCTTTGAATCCAGACTGTCAAGTTTCATTTTATTTTTAATTATTTTAATTACTATTAAATTTCGAAATATAATGTAACATAATAGTGTATTTAATCATAATAATTAAAGTCTAGATAGTGGCAGGATAGTACCTGCAGACAGCAGAATAGAACTGGGGTTGGGGAAAATCACAAAATACAAAGACCTGACATCAGTAGATTCATTTTACCAATGGAAGTAGAATAAGTGTGACAAAAGAAAAGAAAGATAGTGCAATAGTGATAGGTTCCTTGAGTGCAATCCTAAAACATCTGGAGTACCATTTGAACACTGTAGGCATTGACAGAATCAACATCAGTCAATTGCCAAAGGCAGTTTTACTTGGAACAGCTTACATCCTTCAACAGTAACTTTAACAATAACTTATGCCTATCCCAGCTCCTTGGGATGGACTTGATAGGTGGATAAAGAATGTCAGATCCAGCCTAAACGTCTGGCTGTGTGACAAACCATCATGAGCAGGTTAAATTATTATGAGATTTCCAAGTACTGACTGGTAAAGTCTTGGCTCATAACGCATCAGACATAACTGCAGGTGAAAAGATGGAAGTATGGATAACTGCTGTGGCAATATTAGAGATAGTAGAATAGAAGACAAAGAATTGGAGAAGATCACAAAATAACAAGATATGAAAAATGAAATTAGAAGTTTATGGCATAAGCAGGCTGTGGTAGTCCCAATGGTTATGGGCACACAGGGTGTCATACTAAAAATATCTTGAACGGCACTTAGAAAATCGGCACATTGACAGAATTTCCAACTGTCAATTGCAAAAGGCCCCACTGCTAGGATCCACACATATACTATGTCAGGACTCAGGATATTATGACATCCTAGGTTCTTAGGAAGAACTTGATGCATATGAAGGTAAACACCAGGTAAAGAACTGGCAGTTGAAGTTTCACATTGGTGAACTACTACTACTGCTACTACTACTACTATTATTATTATTATTATTATTATTATTATTATTATTATTATTATTATTATTATTAT